GGAGACGTAACAATATCTAGTGATGACAAGGGAAAAAAATGTCATTCCATTTGAATAGTATTGGTCTTAGAAGAAAGCACTGCCAAAACGACTTGGAAAGTTTAGTGTTTTATTTCTGTATTAAGATTGTTCAAGGGATGATGTTATAAGATACGTTTCAATTTTAAATGTTTGTTAGAAGACGCATGGTGTAAAATTAGTCCTAGAATAACTAGAACGTTTGGGAATAGTGATCGAGAGATTTTCTGAAGTGTTTAGAATTTTTGTTTATTATAAATACAAGAATCGGCAAGAAGTGAATCTGTATAGTTCACTGAAATATTTGGATCAGTGTTAGTTATTATGTTTATTCAGTTGTCGTAGTACCATTAGCGTGGTATTTCCGTTTGAACATTATTTATAAAGGCATGTATACTTACAAGACAATAATGACGAGTGAAGTCAGCTTGTAGAAACGATGAGAAAGAAGTAAACTGATTTTTTTTTGTCTTTACCTGGGCTGAACTTGACCTTATTTGTAACAAGTATTGTTTATTCTATAGCCTTATTTTATCTAAAAAATACTATTCACTTTTGTGAAGCACATATTATTTCAGCAATGGTTTCTTTATTCAAGGAAAGGTAGTGACTTTTCTAAAAATAATAATGGAAAAACTGCCCTCTAGTGTGCATGTATGGGTTTTCTGTTTTATTGGTCTATTTCTTAACGCGCGATACTTTGATCACTGAAAATTCTGAAATAGAAGGATGCTATTTTGTTTCGTCGTTGTTACTTTCCTGAGTTGTAAGCCTATTTTAATAGTATTAATTTAATGTAATAAAAATATCCTATGCTGATGTTTTCAAGTAGTAGTGTATATATGCATAAATATATTAGCTTACAATTTTTACAAGATCACTAGTACTACTGCTAATAACTAAGTACTGGAACTCTTACTAATAAGTTCTAGTACTACTACTAGTTTTAGGATTATTAATACTTTTATATGTACTGGTGTTTTTGGTTTGTTATATACGTGAGTAACGTCACTAACATTTAGGATTTAAATTTTAATTTAAGCATTATGCTTCCACTGAATTACTCAATTAGATCTAATTTAAAATGTGTAATACTCATAGGTCCAAAACTATAAACAGTAAAGTGTAAATGTAATACCAATATCTTAAAGTTTAAATTAAAATTAATGTCCAAGGTTTATCATAAGTTATAATGTTGTTTGTACTTTATTAATATTAGTCACATTTTGTAATAATAATGATACTGTGACCCTGTCATAATGACTGATGTAAATCACTAAATCAATAAATGTAACGTTCAAGACTAACTTTTACTAAGTCTTAAGAGACTGAGTCTTAAAGTTCAATGTTTCGGTTATGATATGAATTGGTCCAAAAGTCTGGAGCTTGTAAATGACAAAAAGAGAACAGCAGATTTATTTTAAAATAAAAGCTTGATCTACCATCACATTGATGTGAAACTAAACATAAAATGAATAATAATAATAATATATGAAATGGATAATGGTAGGTTTATGTCTTGAAATTAAAAATTAAACTAATCTTAAATTTTTAAGTTTATTTGGCCTAATAGTAAAATTTTCCAAAACTAAGAAAGGTTCTGTAATTTGTAAATGTAATTTAAGTAATTCAAATCCTAAATATAGGTGTTATATCACCCTCTCAAACTTATTATACCAGTAAGCCTCATGAACTTTGGCATTGATTGAATGGCCTCATTGCTAGTGGATATAGTGATTGACATATTATGACACATAAGTTCTTATATTACTAATTTGGTTTTGTTCCATTGATGCTGTGGTTTTTTGACCTGCTCCAAGAACAAGAATGCTAGCTTGCTGGTTTAATTATTTTGAATGATGAAGTTAATGCAAGTTAAAATAAAAAATACAATATTTTTTATCCTTACCCTAATTCTAATTTGTAAGTAACTTAAATAAAATTGATAATAATCATAATTCATTTACTTATTGTAATTCACACTACAACATTTGCTGTTCATCTAATTTATTATATAAATAACACCTAGACAACTACTATTTCTTATATCTCAGCTTCCTTATTATCCCTTATATTAGGCAAAAAGGTTTATTGACACTGGATATGGCAATTGTAGCGTTGTTAGATGTTACATAACCTTCTTTGCTGTAACTTATAATTCTTAATGTTATTTATAACATTATAAAATTTGCTCTGTCATAGTGTGGCTTAGTTTGTATTAGAATAATTAAACAATATTGTATGTAAATTATTTGTTACACATAATGAGTGCTATAATTTTGTTATACAAGTTGCTTGCCAATAACTTAAGATGGCTTGCAATACATGTACACACTTCTGGAGGATTTTGTAGACAAGAGCTAGAAAATTTTTGAAATTTTAAAGGTAAGACCTTGCACTCATTAGTATTGAACAGTTTAATCTTGACTGATCAATTAAAGAAAAGTCATTTTATCACATGGGACTATATTTAAAGAAATCAATTGTGTGTTCTTCTGGTGAAACTCACCATTTCAAATCAGCTGGAAAACAAAAATAACAAAAATAGAGATTGAAATGATTTCCCTTTGCAACACAGAGGTTTAAACAAATTTAGAGTAGCAGCTCACACTACATGAGTATTCTTTAAATGTATATAACTAAAATTTTCCAAAGCAAAAGGCAACATCTTGGCTTCTAAGGTTTAAGCCTATTATTCTTAATATTCAAGTAATTATTTCTAAATTTTTCATTCAGTCATTCAAACATATTTATATTTGGCAATATTAAGCACCTGAATTAAACTACCTCAGAGTTTTCCTTTTTCACAGTTCAGGATGTTGACATATTTCCTGTAAATGTAATAGGTGTAACAAATCTACAGAATAATTAAAACAAGGCTATACCAGTCCTAGACTAAGTTACAATAACAGTCTTTTAAATTCAAAATCACTAAGTCCCATAAGTTTTTTTAATCATATGTAATTAATCAGCTTCAAGATTTTTATTTCAACAGTTATGCCTAAATCTTTCTTTCCAACATTTTAATGTTATTTTGAAGTATGAAGTGAGGTTTTTCTTAACTTGGTTACTCCAAATGAACTAATTTACATTTTTCAACATTGAAATTGATTTTAATTTTTTCTTCTATTGGCCAAATTATTAAGACATAAGTTCTTTTGAATAAGACAAAAACTGTGAACAACATCAGCCTTTCACAAAATATCTGAAGCTTTAGAAATTGTGTATTCCAAGTAGTGGTTTAAGAGACAGAAATGTAGTTACATGAGGAATCTTGCACTTGAAGTTCTCCAAATCTCAAAAATTCTTAGTTATTATCACCTATTTCTTGCTTTCCTTTACTTAGCCAGTTTTGTGCAGCTTTTAATTTGTCCACTGATTCCCCAAGAATGCATCATTGAAGTTAATGTCTTTACAGAAGGCTTTCTGAAAGTTTGTCTACACAACCTGAAAGTAAAGATCAACTAGGAACCATGATTGAAAATGTCTGGTTAGTTGGTTTAGCAAGAAAATCTCTTTCTAAAGCTAACCTGAGTATTTGTTAAATATATCTTTTCTAGATTGTACAAGAGTGCGGTGCATATTTCTCTGTGACCAGTCATTTGCACTTTTAAGTCATGATTGTTCATTGTTGCTTGATTTTTGGTGACAGTGATATTATTTATAACAGTAGTTTTGCCTTTTCATAGCCATCATGTTAAAAATTTGGATTAATATTTATTTTGAGCAGAGCACACATTACATTAGTAGTAACAAAGTAAATGAGGGTAAAATTCTTTGTTAAATCAGCAAATGAAGATTTGTATTGATCATCAATCTTCTAAAGATATCAACATCTGTGACATTACTGCATTGGTCATCAATCTTTTAAAGATATCAACATTTGTGACATTACTGTATTAGTCATCAATCTTTTTAAGATATCAACATTTGTGACATTACTGTATTAATCATCAATCTTTTAAAGATATCAACATTTGTGACATTACTGTATTGATCATCAAAGATATCAACATTTGTGACATTACTGTATTAATCATCAAAGATATCAACATTTGTGACATTACTGTATTAATCATCAATCTTTTAAAGATAACATTTGTGACATTACTGTATTAATCATCAATCTTTTAAAGATATCAACATTTGTGACATTACTGTATTAGTCATCAGTCTTTTAAAGATATCAACATTTGTGACATTACTGTATTAGTCACAAATGTTGATATCTTTAAAAGACTGATGACTAATACAGTAATGTCACAAATGTTGATATCTTTAAAAGATTGATGATTAATACAGTAATGTCACAAATGTTGATATCTGTGATGATCAATACAGTAATATCACAAATGTTGATATCTTAAAAAGATTGATGACATTGCTGTATTAGTCATCAGTCTTTTAAAGATATCAACATTTGTGACATTACTGTATTAGTCATCAGTCTTTTAAAGATATCAACATTTGTGACATTACTGTATTACTCATCAGTCTTTTAAAGATATCAACATTTGTGACATTACTGTATTAGTCATCAGTCTTTTAAAGATATCAACATTTGTGACATTACTGTATTAATCATCAAAGTTATCAATATTTGTGACATTACTGTATTGATCATCAAAGATATCAACATTTGTGAAGTTGCCAGATGTGTAGCTCTTTAGTAATGTTGACAGAGCTTAATATTTGTATTTTTATTTCTAACAGGTTTTTTGATTAAGGATATTGCTGCCACATTGGCATATTATGTCCAAAATTAGACATAACTGGAGTAGAAATACAAGTAATTTTGAACATTTTAATGGGATTCAGAAACTTGACTCTCTTTATGTTATACCAAGTAACTTAACATCCACTCCTTTAAGAAATGGCCACAACAAATGTCAAAATATGAACAAAAATGAAAGTGTTTTGAAAAAGCCAAAAAGAGAATTACAAAAATTGCAGAATGATAGTTTTGGACTTTCAAATGACTCATGGTTTGAAACAATTCAAGAAGATTTGGATCAAATAGAAAAGGCATACTTCTGTGGTCAAGATAATGAAGAAGACATAAAAAATTCCATTGAATTTACAAACAATATGTCTCCCAAGTCAGAATCCAAAGATATTTGTACAGAAGAACTTGTATTAAAAAGAAAACTACCAAGTGCAAGAAAACATAAACAAAATAGACATTTGTCATATAATGGTGGAAATTGTGTTATGCATGAAAGTCACAAAAAGTGTAAATTAAACTGTGCATCTTTTGGTCTTGATAACTTGGATAAAACTGATCATACGATACTAGATTTTACTTTGAACAGGACAGAAAAAAGTGAAAACATTTCTACTTCTGTCAGGCATGATAATGAAATAAAACAGGAAGCTATTAGAGAAATTGATTCTGTAAATATTGAAGATGTAAATATGGTGCAGCTCAATATGAATAATTATGAAAGTGATAAAGTTTTTAAAAATTCAGAAAGGCAAGATGGGATGGTGTTGCGTATGAAGAATGCCTTCAAATTAAATGCAAAAACCCCTAATTCCAGAAAAATTTCTGTGCAAGATGCAGTAAGAGATGCTAGAATAGCTTTAGCACTTGAGGAGGCTGAGAACAATGAAAACAACAAAAGTGAACATGAAACATTTTATGGACTTCCAAGAAACTTTATGTCACTTTTAGAGAAACATCGTGGGATCATAAAACTGTATGGTGAGTTTATGGAATCATTTTTATCTGTAATTACAAGATCATTAATTTAGTTCTAAGGAATCATGTCACATGTGCAGGTTTTGGCTGTGTGGTGTACATAGAAAGATATTGTATAAAAACTGACAGAAAAGTTTTGTATTGTAATGTAATCATTTTCTTTCATGAAATTATTTTGAAACATTTTATAACAAAGTTAATAAGAAATTGGTAAAATGTTACTTTAAAAATGTCTAAAATCCCATATTGAAGAAAGAATGTTGACTATAATTCTGAATTTATTATATGTATCTTAACAAAATGTGGCTAGCTTTGATTTTAAGTATGGTAGTACTTAATAATAGGGATCGACAAGGATTTCAAATAGTTTCTGCACCAAAAAACCACCCTATCGAATTCTTAAGTTTAATCCCTACTTTGGCAGCTTTTTACACTTATCTTTAGGCCAGAGTAAGGATTAAATTTTATAAATTTGTGATTGTGGTTTTAATCATTGTTTCATTACTTTTTATAGCATGATCCTTATTTCATTTTAAAATTAATATGTTTGTTAATACTCTTGTCAACTGTAAAAGTGTGTTATGTGCAAAAAATCAGATGTGCTACAAATGTATTTGTACTCAAGATATGTCTGTGAATTGCCAATATCAGTCTGACTTAGACTGATAAGTTTAAAGTGCAAGGTGGCATTGACATGAAGAATAAAAATACTTTTTTCAATTGTACAGTTCGTATATTGCACTTGTATAACCTCTAGAATCTCAGAAATACATGTCTACAGTTTTTTCTGTATCCCTATATCTATTATATCTGGTATTTACTCTCCTCTACCACAAACTGTTGCTAAGTCAGCAATGTAGGGTAAAATGAACGTTTGATAACTCTGACATCAAATATATCATGTGGAATGGCACTTTGTTCCACACCTATGCACATAGGGTTAAATTTTTTTTTTTGTTTGGTGAGCAAAAACTTTTTTTCATGCTTTAAAAACAGCTTTATTACAAGACATTAAAAGTCACTTGTAGAACTCTGTCCACTAATTGATAGTTTTTGGAAATGTTAATTCCATTATATAGAACTTTTAATTAGTTAAATACAATCTAAGTTTTCCCAGGAATTTTTGAGGGAAGGGGGGGGGGAGCCACTCTCTGTGGAAGCTCTCCGTGACCTCTTTTGGGGTATCTTTCTGGGAGGTGCTAATTTGAAACTTCATTTTGAAAAGGGGTTATTCTGGGGAGAATTTAGACTCCCTGTTTTCTTCACCTCCTTTCACTAGTTACCTCTCCTGAGAACTCATCTGATCAGCCACCTTCTACCCCTTTACATGTGTTTGTGAAGTTTTGGAGATGCAACCAGTTGCTTTTGAGTCTACCCCTGTTTTGTTGTACTATCATTTTCAAGGGTATTACTTAGTTTTTCCTCCTCTTCCTGATATTGCTGCATGCAGGGATGTTTGCAACACAATTACGTGAGGGTGTCGCTATGCCTGGTGTATCGTCGTCAGGATGATATATATTTGGACACTCAAAGGTTGGATCTATGGAATGCCAGGTATGAACCTGTTACCTCTCTTAATAGGTTGCAATTTTTTGGATTTGTTTGACTCTTACTACTGTTTTAAGCTACTTCTCTTTCTTTCAATATTTTCTGAAGCATATCATCGATCGCCTCAACAATTTGACGATGAACTAGGCCATTTACTGGTCACTACTATGACACGTTTGTCCTCTTTAGGACTTGCCTTGGTGTTGTGGTTGGTCGATTTGTTGAGTCGTAATGCAATTTTGGAGGGTATTCATTTACCTTCTTCTGCCCTTCGAGATTTACGAGAAGCACCTTTTCTTTGGCCTTATTTATTTGCTGGAATTCCAGAGTTGATACAGCACGTTTGCAGTCTTCTTTATTGTCTTTGGCTGCTCAACCCTATTCTACTTCCATTTATACTTCTGCAAGTTCATCCCTTTGTGTCTCAAGGCCCTCTCCTTCCACTCTTCATTCCATTGGTTCTCTTAATTGTTTCCATCCTTATTCTCAGGAGATATCTTGCAGGCCGATATGTGGACTTCTCCCGACATGTTCATATCTCATTACCTTCACGATCTGGCAGTTTCCTCTTCGAAAGGATTTTGTCTTCCCCCTTTGGCTGTGTTGACTACCTCTACTAGATTTTAACAGGGTGGTGAGTAACATGTTATCTGACTTAGTTATTGTTCCCTTCTCCTCTAGGGTCCCTATTGATTTTTATTGGATCCCTCTCAGTGGCAAATATTGCCCATTAGGGTATGCTTGTATTTAAATTTTGCACTAGCAACCTTCATATCGGCTCTTGGTTATAATGGGCTCTGTCGAGATGAGGTGTTCCTTAAGACCATCTTGGTGCAATTCTGGATGGTGATATCATATTACAATATTTTCAATGGACCACTACTCATGGACTGTCATGAGTAAAGCTAAAGGGGATTTTGCCAGTCCTTACTGATCTTAGAGCTAAATCAGTCAAGATCAGTTTGGTTTTTAAAAATTAGGGAACGTGGTTCACCTGTTGCATTGTCTCCAGAGACATGTTCCTCAGGACTCTCCAATGCTTGTGTTCCCCCATTACTTCTACTAGTGGAGCTTGGGAGTCCTTACCACACCCAGTTCTCAGTTGCTGGGGTGGTGGACATAGGATTTACCTTTGAAGTGTTGAATTTTCTCCACTCTCGGAGAAGAGGGTGAAGTTGGGGACCCTCATACCTGGGTACCTGGAAGTTTTTTCCTAGATGGAGGTAGGAGCAGGACCAACCTATGTGGGAGACTACTTATAAAACCAGTCCAGAGTTGATGCTTAGCTATCTGGTGAGGGGGTGCTTGGACACTCTTATGAACACTGTCAGGTCTTATGTTGTTCATGCAGGAGGTCAACTATCTCCTCGTAAATCTGAATGCGACGTGGTCCCATCTTTGGTCCTTGGTGGGATAGTGTTCCACATCCTCTCCTTAATTCCATGGGTAAGCAGAATTTTCCTTGCCCATTTGGTGGGGGAGTAAAGACAACTGTTTGTAAATCCAGACTGGATGAGTTCTGGACTTTGGTGGAGTTTGGCATATGATCCCGTCAATCCAGACTTGGGATGTTGCCTCTTGGACTTCTTCAGGTTGATCAGAAGGATTGTCCACTTTTGTGCTTTCTTTCTTTTATAAATCTGGTGGTTCGAAATGCACCATTCTGTGGTTACTGGAGGGATACTATCACAAAGATATATATATATATATATATATATATCT